GTTTGCTCCTGAGAGGAATGCCTGTCAATGCTGTGCCATCTGAAAACCCTCTAATCCCTGGATTATCAACTCTGGATTATAGGGAATTTCTGACAATCCGGTGCATTGTGGATTTCTCTCATCAGAAGAAAAAAACACAGTGAGGAAGGAGTGAGGTACACCACACTGTACTACACTGTACTACACTGTACCACACTGCACTACACTGTACTACACTGTACTACACTGTACCACACTGTACTACACTGTACCACACTGCACTACACTGTACTACACTGTACTACATGTCATTAATTAAGATATAAAAATTAATTAAGATATAAAATGTCCTAAAACTCATCATTCTCACAGTGATCTGTGAGGAAATGGTTCTGGACCTTCAGTTCATCTGTTAGCTCGTGGCTAAAGCCCTAACAGATTATGACCCAAAAATGTCACGTCAAGTCCATTTATTTGATTAGCCCAAAATCACGAAACACTTTATCCCTGAATCAATCACAGGTTTAAGGTGAGTTTTCAACAGACAGGAAGTCCTGGACTTACATCAAAGTCCTCGACTTACATCAAAGTCCTTGACTTACATCGAAGCCCTCGACTTACATCGGAGTTCCTAGCAACAATGTAACTCTGGGTATGTATATATATCGGTAAACGGTACCTGTGCTGCGAACAGCAATAGTCACTGAGTACAAAAAATACCTGTGAGCCATAATGAAGGGCAAAAGGAGTTCCTAGCAACAATGTAACTCTGGGTATGTATATATATCGGTAAACGGTACCTGTGCTGCGAACAGCAATGGTCACTGCGTACAAAAAATACCTGTGAGCCATAATGAAGGGCAAAAACTTAGCTACACAACCCCCCCACCCACAGGTTACTTTAAGGAACAACACCGGCTTCTTCCTCGTCGCAATGAGGGAACAAGACTTTTTTAATAAATTAAAAGTAGGGGGTAGATAGAGCGGAGATGGATGAATGGATGGATAAGATTAGAGATAAAAATTAATGTGTTCATTTTGACAAAGAATCTTGTCATTTTAGCTAAGTGCTTCATCATCCGGTATCTGTCATTCTATTGGCCGACATTGCAGCCGTAATATTCCTATAACACACACTGTTGTCCTCTTCCAACCATGGGCAGAGTGAAACTCAATTATCCAGCACCATGTTTCTGGCCGTGGTTCTGGGCGTCCAGTGAACTGCTCCAGTTGAACACGGCCTCTAATCCTCCCAAACAAAAGTTCAGAGCAGCAGGAACAAAAGGAGGAAACCAGTAACTGATAGAACTTCATCAGGCAGAGGAAGACGAAAAAACACGGAGCTGACGCTCAGACTCTGACTCTGACTGCAGAAACAATGCAGACGGAGAACAATCGCAGTCACAGGCTGATTGGACTGGACTTCACAGGAAACGGAACACTCCCATGATTCCAGGAACCGTGTCAGAGAACTGATGGTTTAGTGGTTAATGTGAAGGAAGCAGGTTTTTGGTTTGGATCTTTGGTTTAATCATGTTTTTTATAGGCCTGTGAAACTTTGACTTTACTCTACAATACTTTGTACTTGTTGACAATATTTTACTGTAGCGACTCAAGGACCAACTTACATTTAAGTAGCATTTTTGGCTAACATTAAGCAAAACTTCAAATCTTATTTTACCAATAATATCGGCGGACCAATATTAAAGGCAGACCGAAATTATCAGCCCGATATTAGCATAATTATGTAATATCTGTAAGAATCGTTATCTGTTTTACCGCCGATAATGAAAACCCGATAACACAATGCCTGGTTGTCGCCAAATATGCTGGAATCCCTTGTGGTGTACTAGGATGTTTACCACAATTTTGGCGGAAAACAGCTGCATATATCGGTATCGGTTGATATCGGAATCGGATACTAAGTGTTTGGACAATATTAGCAATATGTAAATATCGGACATACCTACTTACTTTGTTTTCAAAGATTTTCAGTAACTTCACAAAGAACTGAATAAATTAATTTGTTTCCGCATTGTAAATAAATCAGATAATGGCGTAGCGGTAATCATACCTGCCTTACACATCGGCCGCAGAAGATGTCCAGAGCAACCACATGAATAATGGCGCCTCCTGTGGCTGCCTGTTTGGGTATATTTACATGTTTTGTTTTGTGTTTTGGTGTGTGGACCACATTAATAAATAAACAATTCCGGGTTTAGAAGTCATTTCAACTGAGACGCAGATTCATCCAATCAACTGCAGCACTCTGGTTTTTGCCAGTTCAGCACTACTGCAGTCTCAACGACGTGATCTGTTTTCAGTCCGTCACGTCAGCGTAACATTGATTTCTCCTCCTTTTTATAGAGTGCAGGAAATGTTCACTGGGATTTTTCAAGCGTTCCTCATCCCAGACAACAGCTGTGTCTGTGAGTGCAGCCGGTGCTCGGCACACTGCTGTCAGCTGTGCTGCATTCGATTTCAACCAGTTCAATTTAACGCAATATGTGACAGAATCTCCTGTAAACCAGCGATCCTTAACTTGTACCAGCCGTTACTGCGGACCAGTAATACCGCGCCGTCGTTGAAGGATCATTCACACTTTTCCAAATCAAACCTCTTTCAGACTTTCTTCTGTCAGTATCAGAGGCTGAATGACCTTTGACCTGTTGTTCTGAAACATTGACAGATTATCTTTGAATGGAAACAGTAACGGGATATGACTGGATTCTTCTGGAATGAAGTACATTAATAAAACTGAAGTACATTTTTTCACTGTGTCCCACTGCGGTCCGGTACCAAATGACCTACAAAAACACCGGTCCCCAGACCAGAGGTTTAGAACCCCTGCTGTTAACCAGCACCTGCATTTACAAAAACAATTTGCGTTTCACTGTCAACGTCCCTCTGGGAATACTGAATCCTAATCCTCCGGCACATATAGTACTTTTCCTATGCAGATGGGAGATCACATGGCATCATCCAAAGATTCCTAATCCCATACTCCTAATCTGGGCGTCTGATGCCAGTGGAATCCAGCAGAAAGTAGGACAGGACATGGCTGTGGAGGTCAGAGGGCTGGTGGCCCGGAATAGATCTGATGAGTCGTTGTGTGAATGTGTGAGCGTCAGTAAGGTTTTAATACATAAATGATGAATACAGTTTAAAATATGACTCACAGGAGTGCGTTTTTGTCTTTTAGTAAAACTGGGTTATATATATATACAGTATACATATATATAAATGTGTATAAACGAATCAAACTGACGTGTAATTGAGGTTTAAATTGGATTAAAGGGTATTACGTGAAATTATATTTTCATTCCAGTGTTGGCATGAGGTCGCACGAATATTGAAATGGTCTGGTATCTAATATATAGGCCAGTCTGTGCGTCTGTGCAGAGGTTGTGGGTTTGAACACGGTAAACGGTGTGGGCCATATGCTGTTCCATACCCACATGAAACAAGCAGACCGATCATCATCCAACACAACATGTAGATGTGGGTCAGTACTAGCAGTGATACAGCAATGTCAGCGTTCTATCTGGCCCAGATCCACTAAAACGACTTACGTGGCCCATATATTAAGAATATGGGCCACATAATGACACATAGGAGGATCAGTGTTGTTTCAATGTGTGAAATGTTTTAGTCGACCTTGTCAAATTTCTCGACAAAATACACAAAGACCACAAGGTTCCAGTCCGCTCTTCGACCTTCCCTGCAGGGGGTGCTACTAACCCAATTTTGTAGTCTATAGCAAGACAACAAGACAGACTTTATGTTGCATAGCGCCACCTAATAATTTAATTCCACAAACAAATGTTACCCCTTGGTAACTGCAGTAAAACTATGGAGAACCAAAGAAAATGCACGCTAAGGGGCGCTAGTGTCCTGACACCCGTGCACATCTAGTGTCCCATTAAATACGACTGGAGGAATTAGTTTGGTATCATTTAATTTCTTTCTTTCTTTTTTTTTAAAGAAATTCCTCTCCATATTTTCAAGTACAAAAACGAACAACGACTGTATCGTGCATGTTGAGTTTTTTTTTTAAGTACCTGAGAGCTGGGAGGTGATGGTTGGAGGAGGATGGATGAGACTGATGGATGGATGGTACTGAAGCTCCGAAAAGTGAGCGTCTCCACAGCAACTTTCCATACCTTTGTGTCGCACTTACGTGAAGACGAAGAAGAGAGAAGACGATCCGACCAGGAGACAGGCGGCGGTACACACCGGGACGAAGGCGCTGGGTTTCAACGAGTCTGCGCCGCCTGCAGGCATCCTGTCCTCCGGGTTTTCCTGTCCTCTAGTCCGTTAGTCCTGTCCTCACTCAGCAGCGTTCCATACTAGACATAGCTGCGGCTGCGGGTGACTGCACAACACTGTCGTTTCCGTCACAGAGCAGAGGAATCATGGTCAGGAGGAGAGACGCCAGATTGAGGAGAAGAAAAAAATAAGGAGGAGAAGAAGAAGAAGAAGAAGCAGCAGCAGCAGCAGAAGAAGAAGAAGAAGAAGAAGAAACGGGATGTGATGTTCAGGGACCGGCGGAGGCTCCTGACTGTGCCGTCACTGCAGAGCACAGATGCTGCCTGAGCCTAATGCCAAAGGTGGAGCTTTTTTACTCATGAATGACGTGAAACACAAACACACTGACCAACACTGGAGCCCCTGCTGTTAGTCACCACAACAACACGAAGAGCGTTTTTTTTTTTATTTCCCCCCTGATGATGAAATTCCTGGACATTCTTCTCCGAGTCTGAGGACACTGTGAGTCAGAATAGTCCTGTATAAAACTAAAATAAATAAATAAATGATTAAACTCGAATCGTTCGTATTCGACTTGATTTGCTCTATTTTTATTTTATTTTATATATTGTATATAACTGTTAAGTCCAACTCTCTCAACACTACCTTGAAGCTACCGTGTTCTAATGTTGACATTTCTTTCTTTGGTTTTTGCTGTAAGTAGCTCATTCTTATCTGACGTTTTAAGTTTTAAATTTGTATCTTTTGTTTTTTATAATTATCATACCTTATATTTAGTTCTTTTGAAGGAAGGTTTAAACCAATTTGGGCTAATAATAGCTATTTCGGTACGTTTTTCATTAAACTCAACAAATTACACTGAAGATATTTTACTAACGGCGGTAATGAGTCTAATTCCGGTTATCTTTTAACTTTTGGGCATAGATTATTTTAAAATTAACTAATAATAGGAAAGATTATAGCGACTTCTGAGTGTTTTTGTATAATTTACGTAGCTATTATGAGGCACGTTTTAGCTAGTTTTGTTTCGTTTATTGCAGTCTACTAGTTAAAAACGTTTAGTTTACGGCTAG